GCTCCTTGAAGATATTAATGAAAAAACCATAAAAATCTTTACTATAATAACATTCTGCTTTAAAGTAAGTTTTAAATATATTATATATGTATATACTTGACTACAAATCACTTAATTATAAAGATTTTAATATTTCACAATTTAGTTTATAGAAGTACTTGGATTTATGTGTCAGTACTGGAATATTGATATAATCTTTATTGATTGGGAACAACCAAAGAAAATGTATAATCAATCAATACGTAATAAATATGATCCACTGTATACGTCCATAAACGAGTTACATGTCGATAAACTTTTAACAAATAGATACAAACATTCTGAAACCTCATCAGAAATCATAACAGCTAAACGCAAGAAAATCTTATATAAATTAAAAAAGTATAATAATTCTGACTGCTTTGATAAATCTTCTGCACCTAGCAAATATAAAGCTAACATTCCAACTGTTCAATCAATATCAAAAATTTCTTCCAAAATAATAAATGAGAATAGAGATTTTACTAATTCATCTGTTAGTATTTGGAGAACATATTTTATTGCTAATCAGTGGTTAAACCTTCAAACAAGAAGAAAGATAAATGTAACTGTACAATTGCTTTGTGTTTTATGTATTTTTCAGGTAAATTAAAAAATTTAAATTAAGAAAATAAATTAAGCAATTAAGATCAAATTTTATATTTTAAGTAGATCATACAAATATATCCTTGGATTCTTAGAATATCAGATGTACCATCTAAATTTTCTGAAGGCAACTATAATTTTACTTTGTACTATACAGTGTGTATTTTAATATATATGTCAATATATTGCATTCAATGGTTGGTCTCTGTTTTATTTTTTGAACCATGTATTACAAACAGAATGCAAGAATTTGTAAATTTGTGTTCAATTGCAAATATCAGTGTATTTATTTTACCATTCAATTATTATGGCTTCTATATTCATGGAAGGTAATATGCAGTGCATAAAATTACAGTGCATAAAAAGTATAATGTGTCCAAGAAACTACTTTTATTATTTTCTTACAGATCAGTGCATGGATTTGCAGATGTAAACTTACCTACCTTAATTAATGATTTACAAATGGAACAGAATAATTTATGTGCACATAAAGGTCTTGTACCAGGAACAACTCAACAAACTTTTATACTACGTTTAACAAAAACTTTTAGAATTATTTTTGACACAGGTTCAGGACTGACAAAGATAGTACGTATGATACAATTTTAACTAAAATTTTTAAAAATATAATGTATTAATTACATTTTTTTTTATTTTCTTCAGAAACGAAGTAATTTCTTAAAAACATATTCTTCTTCTGTTATAAATGGGGAACATATTTTCAATACTCAGTTGAAGTTAAAACAACTTTTATGTAAATTTGTGGATCATTGCATCAAACATGAAGATTACATTATTAAAGAACAACATTTCTTTGAAAAGCTGTTTAATATTATATTTTCCTCTAATGAAGAGAAATCTATTTTTTATATAGGTAATGTTTTATAATGAAAAGGGAAAAAGTATTTTTATCATTCATTTACATAACTTTTTCAGATAATAATTATACCTTCAATCAAGTATTATTATATGGAAATGAATGGTTATTAGCAACATTTGAAATTTCAATATTTACTTTCATCATTGTATTATGTGAAGATTGTATATTAGCTATTACATTGACAGCGTTAACGTCAATGTTCTTATCTATAATAGTGAAATATAATTGCAAGAAAAATTTAAGTAATAATATTGTATGTTTATCAAATAATGACTGAAAGAATCAATTACTACAAAAACTCATTTGAGTTTTAAATTATAATTTATTTCTGATGCTATAATATATACAAGAATAATAATGCTATTTATTCCTTCCATGTATATCATTCATTTCTTTGAATAACATTAATGATGATCACCATGATCACCATGATCATCATGACCACCATCATTTCCGTAAGTAATTCCAAAAGCTTGCTCTATAGCTATTGTTATTAAGAAAGCTGGAATTGCATATTTGAAACCTCTTGTCAATCCTTCAAATGTTCGTGAGAAGGGAGTACCAGAAAGTGCTGTGTAACGCCAAACTTCATTTCTTAACCAAGGATCTTTTAATCCTTTTTTGGCTAGTTCTTCTTGAACCCATTTGAGCTCTGGAACATCCTCTACTTTGTATATGTCTGGACTTGGTATTTTATATGGCACTCCATGACCTCCCATCTCTTTTCAACAAATTTGTATCTAAAATTAATTTATTATTATAAAATACTATTCTGGAATATTACAACATAAGAAACTTATACAAACTTATAAGCAACTTATATAAGTTGTAATTTAAATTATCGAATATTATAGTATGTCATATTAAGGTTAGTATTTTGAACATTGTTGTTACTGCATTTAGTATACCATACCCTTAAATAAACCTCTAAAAAAAATTATATTTACTATTATATCATGACAGTTCAAAATAATCGTACAATTTACCTCTTAGAATCACCGAGAATTGCACACACACACATACACACGTTTGACGCTTGCGTAAATTAATCGATCTTTGCCAAATCCCTAGAACTAATACAAACGCACGGCGGTTATTCTATGTGAAATAGCGTACGATAGCGAATGGCATATGATGCCACTTCTCATAAAACCACCGTCTTGTGTTTGCGTTAGTTTAGTGATTTGTCAATGATCCATGAGCCTCATTGTACATAAATATTATTTAATTTCTATTATCATAGACATAACAATTATAAACATTCTGAATGATACTTTAATTTGATTTTAATTATAATTTAATATGACAACTGAAAATCTAAAGAAATGCTACAGTTTATATAAAATGTTATGAAACATTTGTCAAAACCTTTGTCATACTTGTGTCAAAACAAAAGTAAATAAACATTCATGTGTATTAAGAATAGATTTCTTTTTCCATTAGTAGATATATTACAAAACAAAATTAACATAATAACCAATATTCATCTGTTAACAGTAAAGTAGGTTTATAAATTACTCAATTCTATTTTTTTAAACAATACGTTGTAAAATATTTCACTGTAACTTCGTAAGCATGTCGCTAGGTGGATGTTCATTCAAGTACATCTCTTTACATAGACGTTTGACCATCTGTTTTCAAAAGCAGCCCCTCGAACTAAGCATTTCCATTGGAGAAGTACGTTCAATCTATTTCCGTATCGAAAATTTTCCAAGTTGACGTTGAATAGTGATTCGATGGAACAGTTAGTTTAATTTTACCTATACAATGTCTTGTATGAAGAATGACAATGAATGTGCAATCTACGTAATTTAAAGGAAAATAAACGTACTTGCTGAATAATTATGTGACTGAATGTGAAAGAGTAGCATTAAAAAATGTTCCATCACGAATACGAGAAACGGCTGTTGAAGTCAAACAGCGAGAGCCATATAGATAATCTGGCAGGTCCCGGACTTCATTCATCTGTATATTTTTCACCTACTAAAATGATTAATAATAGTTTCGATCGATTTATACCAACACGATCCGGTAATAATTGGCAAACAACTTTTTCCATGATATCAGAAAATAGTCGAAATGGCATAGTCACAAAAAAGACTCGCGAGAATGGAGAAAGTAACCGTGATGGAATTGCTTATTCTTGCCTTCTAAAAAACGAACTGCTTGGAGCAAGCATAGAAGATGTAAAAGGACAATGTGAAGAGCGAAGAGTATTATCACCATTAGTTACCAGAAATCTCTTTAAATATATTACACCTACGAAAGACCACACACTATTGGATCAAAGTTCACCTTATTCTTTGTCACCATTGAGTGCCAAAAGTCAAAAACTTCTAAGATCTCCACGAAAAGCAACAAGAAAGATTTCCAGAATTCCTTTTAAAGTACTTGATGCTCCAGAACTACAGGATGATTTTTATTTAAACCTTGTCGACTGGTCTTCTCAAAATATTCTCAGTGTTGGCCTAGGTAGCTGTGTCTATTTATGGTTTGCATGTACCAGCCAGGTGACTAGACTATGTGATTTATCCAGTGATGGCAATAGTGTAACATCAGTTGCTTGGAATGAAAGAGGAAATTTAGTTGCAGTTGGTACACATTTAGGCTATATCCAAATATGGGATGTAGCTGTGAATAAACAAGTAAGCAAGCTACAAGGACACAGTGCAAGAGTTGGAGCATTAGCTTGGAATGGTGAAGTTTTATCATCTGGTAGTAGAGACAGGTTAATATTACAAAGGGACGTTAGGACTCCTTGTGTCGTCAGTGAAAGACGTTTAGGAGCTCATAGACAGGAAGTCTGTGGCCTTAAATGGTCTCCAGATAATCAATATTTAGCATCTGGTGGAAATGATAATCGCCTTTATGTTTGGAACTTACACTCACTCTCACCAATACAAACATACACCGAACATGCAGCAGCTGTTAAAGCTATTGCATGGTCCCCACATCATCATGGTCTCTTAGCTTCTGGTGGAGGTACAGCAGATAGATGCATCAGATTTTGGAACACACTAACTGGTCAATCAATGCAATGTGTAGATACTGGTTCCCAAGTCTGTAATTTAGCTTGGAGTAAACACAGTTCAGAACTAGTCAGTACACATGGCTACTCCCAAAATCAAATTTTAGTTTGGAAGTATCCCAGTTTGACACAAGTTGCAAAATTAACAGGACATTCATATAGAGTTTTATATTTAGCTATGTCTCCAGATGGTGAAGCAATTGTAACTGGTGCTGGAGATGAAACTTTGCGTTTTTGGAATGTGTTCAGTAAAGCTCGTAGTCAAAAGGAAAATAAGTCTGTATTGAACCTCTTTACTAGTATTCGATAAATGAGTATAAAAAGATAATAATTTTATGTATAATACATAATATATGCACTAATCTAGTATTCTGAAAAATTATAACATGTACAACATATATAACTACAATAATTTACAAACATTTAGTTACAAATAAGAATATAAATTAAGTTTCAATATGCACAGCTTATGGTTCATTGACTCTTATGTGCAATAAGTTATTCATAAAAACATGCCCTTACAAGGAAATATATAGGATAATATATAGTTTTTATGTATTTTTCGTACAAATATTTTTATGTACAAAGCATTAAAATTTATATTTCTTGAATATCATATGTATTTTTCACATGAAATATACATCTTTTACATTTTATCTTAGTACATAATGTTAATTGCAAACAATTAACTGATTTATTTATATCCTTTGTTTATTGTAGCAAAATTTAATAATTAAGCAATTGACAATTTTTTTTAAACATATACTATTTATCATAAAACATAATGCAATGAGATAATAATATTGATGTTAATTTTTAAGCACAGTATTGAGTATACTTTCTTTTAAGGGCACATTATAATATATCTGTAGGACTTCAAAATACTTATACTCTTAAATTTTTTAAAATTATACAAATTTTCATTT